GAATGCAAAAAAATATTGAATTTTTTATATTATGAAAAGACAAGCTGTATAATTGTTCCCAAGAATTATTTAGTTTAATTAATTAGTTAACTGATTTCAATTAATTCACATTAAGGAAATGCTCTCAAACCATATATAATGTATAGACTATTTAAATGACGTCAATTTTTTAAATTATGAAATGAGCTGTATGATAGCATTTTAAGAATGAATTAGTTTAATTCATTAATTAGTTTCAATTAATTAACATTATAGAAGTGCTCTCAAACTGTATTTAATATGCAGACTATTCAAATGATACATTTAATGCTGCGTATTGTTAAACAATTGCACTTTGCCGGTAATATTTCGGAAAAAAATTCATTATCATCATAGCACTTAATTAATGTAATGGATTTAAATTAAGACTTACTCGCTTCTTATCAGCTGAACACATTTTTGGAATTTAAATTTTTATTAATATTTGGTTGCATTAGTTATTTCAGTAATTTTTGATTTCTTCAACCGATATTTTTACCGAATACCTTCATGGATAGAAAAATGGTGGAAAGAAGAAAAAAATTCAATATTCTGCTGATAAAATGATTGTTTATGTTGAAAATTTTGTCAATCAATTTCTGATTATTGTTTTAAATTTATTTCGAAGAAATAAATTTGTTTTCTTTATATTTGCAAGAACATTTTTTTTCCTCTAACATACTGTCCAAAAATTCAAATATATCTGTGGATAGAATAAATAAAAATAGACAATTAAGAAACTTTTAAAAAGTTTGAAGAATTTTCACATCAAACACCAAAAAAATTTGCGAGTAACCGAACATTTTTATTTGTTTCTTCGAGAAATTTAAACAATGAATAATTTTGAATTCGTAACATTTTGTGATTTGAATAATTAAAAAATTTTGAAATATCTACTCTATCGATTATTTTACCTCCGATTAATTCCGCTGTAAACAGATTCTGAAATGGAAAACATCTCTTGAGAGGAAATAAGCAAATCTCATCATCGCTTTAAGGTTGAAATTTAAATTTGAGAGCAAGAAAGTGAAATTTTAAATTTGGATCAAATTTTGAAATCTAAGATGAATTAAAAAAAAAAAAAAACTCATAAGAAAAACGGGACAATGGGCAACTCCACCAAGGAATTTTTGTCAGCCTAACAATTATAATTACTAGTATTATTATTACCATAGTTATTACTATTATCGTTTATACTATTATCGTATATTACTATACCATTATTATTATCTTACCATAGTTACCACTATTATCGTGATTATCGCATAGTTTGTAATTACGAACTATTATAGATAGTCATCGAATTGATTGCTCCAAGCAGACAAAACATACTTTTTCTGGATATTTCGGGGGATATTTGGAGCGTTATCCTGAAACGATAATCTTTCTCAAGATCTGTTCCATAATGGTGATAGTGATGCAAATAAATGGGTCATTAAAAAATTTCCATTACATTTTACAAATTTACCGCATTGTTTTTTTTTTCGTTAATTTTATTTTATACCTGTCTATTTGATTGTCTTATTAATGCATCCCATCCGGAACATTCAATTTGTTCTGAAATGTGATGGCTATCAAATCCATTTATCTGCGCCTATTATCGCCATTGCTATTGTTTATTTCAAAAAAATTGAATTTCCTAAAAGAGAGCAATTTACTGACCGAAATTATCATCTTTATCAATATGCATGCAAATGATCAAAAAAAAAAATCATCATTATCACATTATGCCAAAATAAACAAACACGTAAACAACGAAATAAACAAACAAACATATTTTAATCGATATTTTCCGGTATCGAATAAGAGCACATATCGCTTTTCCTGAATTTTGCTTCATTTCTCATCTGAAAAAAAAAAAAAAAAACTAAATATGATTATGTCTTTTGAAATTTGATTTGTCCAATTTTCTTGTCGTTCGTTTTCGATAATTTCAGCTATTACATATTCCTCATTAAATTATTATGGTATCATTATTTTAACAATAGCAATTGAAAATATTTTCTAAATATGGAAAAACATTTCCGGAATTCTAACAATAGCAATTGAAAATATTTTCTAAATATGGAAAAACATTTCCGAAAAATTTTGTTATGATGCTACTATGTATCGAAAAAATAAATTGTTTGAAAAAGAGGATGTTGTGAACGAATTACATGAATATCGTTATTAGCATTATTATTATTACTTATTATTATTAATTCTTATTATAGTTATTACTCTTTTTATTATTACTATCTTAGTCATTCAATTTTTTCGTGTCAGTGGTCAGGCATTATCTGTTAATAGCTTTTGATTTCATTTCCAATTTATCCAACCGAATGTATTGATGATATGAAATTTGCAAAAATTACTTATATAAATTTGAATAATATCATTTCTTTTCAACCTAATGCTAAATTATATTTTTTTATGAAAAAATTTTTTTGTGAAAGAAAGTTAAGGAAAATGAGAAGGAATTCTGTCCATTTAAGCAGTATTTGGGTTTTGATAAAAGCATAATGAAGAATATTCGGATGAAAAAAATGAAAATATATTTTCAATTTGAATCAAATTCGATATCGTTGAAAATTAAAACTCGTGGCGCTAAAATCATTTACATTAAGTGCCAATTTGCACATTCTTTCAAATGTTGAAAATGTAGGATGTAAGATGAATTATAAAATTGTCCCCGTTCTTAGTATCAATGAATTTCTCGGAACTTGTTATTCTCAGAGAGGTGAATTTTGTTGTGAAAAAAAAAAAAAAATTAGGCACTGTTTTTAATTGACCGTCTTTCTCCGCCTACTTTTTCTTCGGTACCTTTTTCCTGGCATTCATCCTTCATCAACTTTCCTTCGATTTTTCCAGTCATTTCTCATTTTTAACTCGTATTCTTTTATAGTGTTGAAATTATTAATAATTTCTACTTTTGCACGTATTGAATTGAAATCTTTTTTAAATATTTATTTTTAGAATAAAAATTTGAAAGAAAAGGATGTTATCATTAATTTATAGTACGATTGTATCACTAATATTAATCACTGCAACATTGATGATCAAAGCAATTGATTACGAAGATAATGATTTAGCTAAAGGTAATTTTTTTGGATAGCAAATTCAGGAATAATTCTTTAAGATACAGTTAAAGTTCGCCATATTACGGTTTAATTGTAGCGTTTATTATGATGCTTACAGGAATACAGTAAAATAATACAAATAATATTGCATTGATCATACAGATATTACATTGTAATACAGTAATGTAACACAAATGTTGCATTTGTCAATACCGCACACAATAATCGCAGTACTGTAATTTAATAATGTTGCATGAGTCATTATCGTATGTTACAGCGCAGTACTGTAACGTAATATAAATAATATTGTATTCATCAATACTGGACATAGTCTGTGCAATATCTACTACTGATTCAATAACATTATCAAATTCTTGAATGAAAATATGTAATTTAATCATCAATTAGACTATAAATTGATTATGCATTACTGATATTGATATTGTAATTCAGTATGTCGACCTTTGGATCGTCAAATGGATTTGTTGTTCATTCTGGATGGTTCCGGTAGTGTTAGTGGAAGTACATTTGCAACACAAATGGCTATGCTTAATAAGTTCGTAATTGAAATTAGTATTTTTAAATTATGTGATGGTTTTGAAAAAATGACCCAATTTATTTTCATTATAAATTTTTTCACCGAATTAGCTAAGATTTCAATTCATTCAATTTCAATTATAATTTCACTTGGTTAAGAAAGTAAGCATATTTCAGGATTGTTGATATGATCGAAATTGGCCCGAAGAATACACAAATTGCTGTAATGCAATATTCATCCTACACGCGAGTGGAATTTAATTTTAGTGCCAATCCAGTTGGTTGCTGTTTCAAAATTTTTGCAAAAATTTCGATCCCAATTTCAAAATATAAAAATGCAATGGGAAAATTTTAGGAAATTCAAAGCAACCCTTTTATTGAGTTGATTTACATTCACAAATTTTATAAATTCCCCGGAATTTTCTCTGGAAAAAATTCTCAGTAAAACGAAAATTGAGCAGCGAAAGCGAAATGATATTTGAGTTGAAATTATTATTTCATGCTGTTATGGCTTACAACCAAAAAAAAAAACAGCTAACGATTTTTTCTTACTCCAACTAAGAATTAAAAATTTTTCAGAATAAGGAAACACTTCGTGCATCACTTCAAAAAATTCGACATATTTCGGGAACAACGAAAACTGGCAAAGCATTGGATAAAGCACTTCATGTTTTCCGTCATGATAGCAATTCAGGAGCACGGCTTAATCAGGATGATGTAGCGCAGGTTTTTAACTGCATCTCTTCCTCTTCTCGTTATTAATTTCAAAACTTCAAATTTTAATTAAAATTTTTTTTGTTATATTTTTTATATATGGCATATTTGATAAATGGTTTTATAATTTTATAAATGGTTTTTTTTTCATATATGGAATATTTGACAATTATTGCTTTGAGAAATAAAAAAAAGTATTTAGAAATTATAGAAATGAATTATAATAATTTGAGGAGAAAAAAAAAAGTTTAAAAAAATTGTAATAATTTTGAGAGAGTTAACAAATTTATCATTAATATTTTGTGTAATAAAATAAAGAAAGTTTTCATGACATGCTATTATCATTCTTAAAGTGAAATTTATTTTTAGGTTGCTGTAGTTGTTACCGATGGTCATTCACATGATGATCCGATATCAGCTGCAGTGCGACTTCGTCATGCTGGTAGGTGCTAGCAGATTTATTCAAAAAATTTTAATTTTATTTTTAAAAAGAGAAAAATTTTCAAGTTTTGGATGAAACTTATGCTACAATGTAAAGTTTAAATTTTTAAATTTAAATCCGATATAATTTTCCTACAGGTGTTCAAATACTTGCCCTTGGTATTGGTGCGCATATTAATATGGGTGAACTGGTGGAAATTACCGGTGATGAGAATCTTGCTTTCCAGAATCTCACTTCGCAAGCTTCTTTAGATCAATTTGTGCATCAATTCAAAAAGATTGCCATTGGCGAACATTGTGACTTTTCTCGAGGTTAATAGCACATTTCATATATATATTTTTTGAAAGACTATTTACATTGAATTTTGATTTTATATGGTTTTAAAATTTGCAAAACAAAAAACATTCATGCAAAATTATAGCTTCCATAAAAAATTGAACATTTAATAATATTAAAATTGAAAATCAATAACGATTACTGTCGTTAGAAAAAAAAAAAAAGATTATATTTCAGGTCCATTTGGAGCTGAAATAAATTGTCGTAGTGATTCTGTGGAGATTGTCGTTTCCACGGTGAACCCATTCCACGGTCATCTTTATGTATCCGGTCAATTTCATCGTCCAGAATGTATCGCAACCGTACAAAATTCATCCTTCAAAGAAATTCGCCTTTCCATTGATCTTACCGCTTGTAATATTCAGAAACAGATGAAGGTAAAATAATTTTAAATAGTTTATATTTGGAAATTTTTTTCTTCCATTTACCACTTGTTTTTTGTCTTTATTTTCGAACTATTTAATTAGATCTGTTATTACATAAATTGATATTTACTTTTAAACCAGAAACATTCTTCCTAATATTTTCAGCGATTAAAGAATTATGTTTACAAGCATTACCATATATTTTTGTTGAAGTATTATTAGACGAATAAACAAAAGAAAATAACAAATTAATTAACTAATTAAATCAGTATCTGTTAATCAAGAGATTGCTGTACTTTAATTTGTTTTTGCTTATCCTGGCATTTATCTTTGATATTTTTAGCAAAATCATATGGGTGCATTATTTGAGACAAATGTTGTACTGAAATTTCATCCATTATACAATACAAAAGCAGATAAGGTCTTCAAGGTGCAATGTTTTTATCCTGAAAAAGCACCAAAATTACCGGGAAAATATTTGGACAATCGAATAATTATTAATAAGAGGTAATATAATAAGAAATATTTTCTTCTAAGAATACTTTAATTATTTAAAGTTTCTTTTTCGGGCTTTTTTTTGGCTTATTTTCGATTTTTTACATCTATCTGTTAACTTGATCCATTCTATTATATTTAAATTTGATTCACAGGAATGAATTGAAAATGCCATGTTCCTATAAGATGATATCAAATACAAAACCAAATGATAAGTGTAAATTGGAAGATGTACGTGTCGGTGATCAAATTATTCATTCATGGGAATGTGATAAAGGTATAAGTAATTTGATTAAAATTTCTATGTGATAATGTTAAGATTTTTTTTTTTTTTAGTAGCAACATTACGCAAAATAGCTACCCAAATTATTATGCAACCCATCCACTTTATTGCTAAAACTTCAAACTATGTGAACTTTTATTAAAAAGTTAAAAGGTCAAGATGTCAAGATATGTATATCGATTCAAACGAATTATATTTTGAAAAATTGCATAAAAATGGGGAAAGAAAAAGAAATAGCAAAAGTGCTATAAAATTAAAAAGAAAAAAAAATTAAATAAACAAACAAATCACATTCGCTTTTTCAATTCCATCAAATCGATTCTCCTACATTCATTGGAAATTTTTCTCAATTAAATTCATCCGCCCACTCATCCGTACACACACACACACACACACACACACACACACACACACACACACACACACACACACACACACACAATTTCTAGCTCAAAAAACAAACTTGACATGAAATCAATTTGATCCAATTTCAATGCAAAACATTCTACAAAGAGGACTGAAAGGCATTGCAAGGTATTCCAGGTAAGGCATTCCCATTCATGCTAATCATCAATTCAACTGCCAGCACCGTTCTCGATGTGCAACCTTGCAGATTCATTCGATACATATCAATCAATGCTTGTTCACAATTGCATTATCATCGATTTAACGAGTGGTATTAGCAAGACAATTATTGATTCAACCGGGTAAATTTTTATTCCATCGAATACTTCATCCTAAATTAATTACACAAATTAAAAAATGACATTATACTTTTTTTTTAAAAATTGCCCAACATTAAAATTTTTTTTCTAACTTAAAGTTTTTTAACATAAATATGCAATAGATAACTCGGTAATCGATTCAACTGGATTAATTTTTTGTCATCAAATATTTCATCTTGAATTAATTATACA